ACCTTGACTTTTGTATAAAAATGCAAAAATGGGATCTTAGGTCAAAAATTGGGGTATGACAATGACTCGGAAGATCTTCTCAATCGCCTTTAGCCATATTTATGTTTTGTCAGGTTGATGTGCTCCTTTGAAGATTGGTATATTATTTCTCTGAAACTTCCCCAAAGCACGAAACTGATCATCATTGTTGTTCCCAGCATTTTAACGTGCAACTGCTGCCCAATTGCTCCATCCAGCATTGCCAAAGCTTCAACAATCATGTTGTCGTTCCTACCTCCAACCATCGTTCTGAGAATTTCAACCAACAAATCCTCGTTAGAATAAACAGTACCGATAATGTCACGCACATATCTAATACAAAGGGAATAAACACATTAACACTTGTTCAACTGACCGACTATGCTCTGATACCACTAATGTAACACTCTTCTAAATCCTGTGGAATATTATAGAATAATCAGAGTAAATATAACATGTTTCTCAAATAAAGGGTGTCACACATATCTTAAATACCACAAATAGACATGTCATACTCAATAACACTAATCCAAAATTCATGTTTTCGTACACTTTCTCATAGCATGTAGCAGCGGATCATTTTCATTTAAACAATTAGGAATGAATTCTCATAATAAAATCTCTTTATTGAAATAACTTAGGCATAAAAGTCACTTCACCACATAACTCAAAATATCAAAACAAATAAAATAGAGTATACAAATGTATCTCTTTAAAACATGAATCAAACATTCCCCCCAGTGTTACATAACCAGAGCATGACGCCAAAACCAAAATAAATAACATAAAGTAGCTCTTCTACCGCTACTCTCCTGCTCAAGCAACTTTACTCTTCCGTACTTGAGTGATGTTGTATAAAAACATCATTCCAACAGAAGAGTGAAAATTCACATAATTATGAAAATTATATAACAATGCATAATGCTTAACATTCATATATAAAAAAAACATTATCACACTTCATACACTTTATAAGCATAATATCACCTAATTTATCACACTATTCACAAGTATTCAGCACAATTTAAAATTCCATAATTATAACCACTTCACATAGTTCACATATATCTATATTGCAAACATAGACACAATATAACTCAATGTAACTCAAATGCAATAATCATGCATGTGGTGCCAATATCTTGTTATCATTTTTTGGTTTTTACTTTAAACCGGGTTCATTCTCTAAATCGATAACACACCAAAGCCCGTTCTCTAAGCTTTCAAACCCCTCTCTGGTTTGGGACAAGTCACTAGCTCCCACAGAACTAATAAGCTTTGCCTCTTAACAAGAAATGATGCATGTACAATTACAACAACCATATGCAATTAAGACCATTCTATAATCTTAACATCCATATATATATCTTCAATAATTCATCACACTTGAATTACCATACAATTGCACATAGCATACATGCATATATTCATGAAGTATCCACATACAATTCATATTCACAGTTTGAATACTCCAAAACATCATAATAATACATAACAACAATGTACAATAGCATTATCATATTCCAACACCAAATCATAACATATAAAACACACACACACACACACACACACACACACACACACACACACACACACACACACACACAATGATTAAATCACTTACTATCAATAAAACTATTTTTATTGATAAGATTGTCGCGCTAGCTTTCTAACGCTTTGAACGAAGACTCAAACAGAGCTACCATTCAAAAGTTATGACCAAAACAAAATTATTTTTCAACAATGTTACAGCGACAATGCATTGTCACAAAATGACAACGGATTGTCATCACTTTCAGACCCAAAGAAAAATGTTTTTTAAGCATGAAACTGATTGTAGTTTTGTACAATCGATTGTCATTGGTGAATCTTCCAAGAAACCTCAGTTTTCATGTTATAATCAGTTCATCCAGTTTCATATTTTTTAATAATAAATCAGTATCAATTTTCAACATACAAAATCATCTACATACAATTTTATCAAGTTGAACATAATCATTATCTCAATTAACACAACTTTTCAACAATTTCTACATGAATCGTTCATCAAAACCTAACAATTTCAAACCCTAAGAAATTGGGGTTTTCATCCTAAGCACACAACTACCCATCACATACTATTATACAATCCCAATAACCAAGTAAAAATTCACTCTTACCTTGATTGATTCCACAACTTTTTGCGTCCTTGCCCTATTTCCTCTTTCTCGCTCTTCTCTTCTTTTCTTGAAACCCTTTTCTTTTGAGTTGCCTCTTACTAACTCTTATTCTTCTTCTTTTATTAAACTAATAAAATTTATATCAACTCTAGTGGGCTCACCTATCACAATTAGACCCAATTAACATTCTTCACTATTTCTATGCCATTCTTACTGATAAAATAATCTTCCACTAACTGGCATTATTTTCTAACGATAACTCAACGGTTCGACAATCTCATCTCGACTAACCTGTCATATATAACACACATCAATTAATTTAAATTAAATCATATACTCACAAAATCAGATAAATAATTAATTATTAAAATATATAACTAATTAATAAAAAATTGGGGTGTTACAGCTTGAGCGAGGCAAAAAAGATACTTTTGGAAATTCCTAGGTTCCAAATTTTGCCATCTTGACTAGGCAAAAAGAATAATTTTGAAAATTAAATTTCTCTGATTCGAAAGAAGCAATAATGGTGTAATGATAAATCCCATAAACAAGTTAACTCTAACTCGACCAGACTAGTTTGAGGTTACAACGAACCAAACTAAAAACTCGACAATTTCTCTTTACACTCTTATAGAGTAGGGTGCACTTCTGAAAATCCCAAAATATCTTTGGGTTATTACGAGATACATCTTCGAACGCACTAAATCTCATTTTTATTCAAAATCTAGTTCGAAGATGCATCTCTAAATTTTTTGGAGGTTAATTCAGAGAGTATCTCCAAAAATACACATGAACTAATCGTTCCAATTACCATCATTTTTAAATCTCATTAGTTGTCATTATTACTATTCTTGTTTTCTTGTCTCGTTTATTGACTAATTCAATTCTTGAAATATAAATTTTCTATTCTTCCTATAAATATAAATATTATTTATTATTTACTATAATAATTATTATTATTTTCTATAATAGTAATTATTTTCATGAGAGTAAAATTGTTTTAGAGATAAATCTCTAAAATACACATGAATCAGACAAACAAAGCGTTATGATTATCATATTTGTTCAAATTCCTATCATTTCCTCAATAAAAAATTGTTCGAATTCTATCAATAAAATTTGTTTATTTCACATAAAATCTCATTATTTATAGGAAAAATAATAATAATAATTAGAGACAGGATTTATAAGGAGAGAATAATAATTATTATTATTATAGAAAATAATTATTATTATTATAGTGAATAATAAATAATATTTATATTTATAGAAAGAATAGAAAATTTTTATTTCAAGAATTGAATTAGTCTAGAAACGAGACAAGAAAATAGGATAGTGATAGTGACAAATAATGAGATTTGAAAATGATTATAATTGAAACAAATATTGTAATTGGAACATTCATGTGTATTTTTGGAGATTTATCTCTGAATTAACTTCTAAAAAATTTGAAGATTCGTCTCCGAATTAAATTTTAGCAAAAAAAAAAAAAGAAATTTGATACATTCGAAAATATATCTAAAAAAATAAGAGGCATTTTTGAGATTTTGTCAAGGATCTGAGAGATATTATAAGGATGCAAAGAGAAATTCTCAAAAACTTAGACAATAAACAGAGAATTTAACATCTCATCCCTCAAATTATACATGGCACCTCCCAATTTACTTTATTTCAAAAATGTTCCTGAACAAATTAGGAGGTATCCAAAAACGAAATTTCTGATAATTTTTTGAAATTTCTGAAAATTTCGAAATATACTGAAATTTCCGGTATGATATATTGTACTGGAAATTTCCGATAATGTAAAAAAAAAAAAAATTTCTTGATAAGTGAAGTATCAGATTTTTTGAAAAATCCAGTATTTTCCAGAAATTTAAAAAAAAAAAAAGGAATTTTCTTGAAATTTCCTAAACACCCCCAAAAATTTATGTTTTTCCGAAATCTTTTTTGGAAATTTTGAAAAAACCAAATTTTTTTTGAAATTATCGGTACACCTCCAAATTTCCGTTAAAATTTAAAAAAATTTGTTTTTTTTTTAAATTTTATGATTATTCACAAAGATATAATGTAAAAACATATATAATATGGAGTGTCGTATATAAATGTGGGGGTGGCGTGTTAGTTTCTCCAATAACCGGGCTCATCTTTCTTGTCAAACCCTACATTTTTTGTGGGCTTTCCGACCAGTCCAAGTCGCTGTTCCAGCTCTTTGAATAAACCCAATACTTGCATCCCATTAGGGTGTACAGACTATTTGAGTCTAGATTTCAAATTCACCTGTTTAATTTTTATAATTATTATTTTCTTAATTTTATAATTTATTTTTTTTTAATCTTTATTTTATAGAATATATATAATTTCGGAATTAGGGTGTACAGACTACTTAAAGATATTATATACATGTATTAATTTAAAATTTAAAGTGTTACACCAAAAGAATTTCGGAATTAAATTGAGGTATAATGATTTGCTGAATACTTTTCTATTTTACATAAAGAAATAAATAAACATCAACCTATATTATGATACATATACAATGTGCTGTTTTATCCATTACCAAGATTTTGGATTTTTCATTTGCCATTCCTGTTCTAAGTCACTAAAATTCAGATAAAAAGGACAAGAAAATAATCAGAACTTCCAAAAATTTCTGATGACTGCTAGATCCATTTCTCTTCCAACTGAAAACTTCCGGTTCCTGCCTACATTTGAAAAGATCGACATAAATTTCGAAGATTAATGCAGTTTAAATACGAACACAAAATTGCGGTTAATGAATCTCGTGTATCTTGAATACCTGAAAACCGTGCATATTTAAACATGTCATTCGGCTTTGTTGTAAGTGTCTTTCTTTCCGGCAAGAATCATTGAAATCTGAAGTCCTCGACTAAACGCTTGATTGAATAGCAACCGAGTTTGGAACTCCGACACAAATGGGAACCATGACAAAACTGCTGTTGGCATGAAGATTATTAGTCCCATAACATATTCATATGCTCTCGAAAGCTCTTTCACCGAAGCCCATAGTTTCGCCCACTTCAAGAGTCCCCTACATGTTTGCGCAATCTTAATTGCAAAAGAGAAAGAAAGTATTAGGATGGTATAGAAATATAATATCGAAAAATGTTGGCGAAACGAGTAAAGAGTGTTGTTTGTTAGCTTACTAAGACCAGAAGTTTCGACTTACCAGAATAATGGCCCATCCAGAGGGCATGAAGGCAAGAATGGAAGCAAACAGATCGGATACAGTAAGCGCGCATACAACGAACAACACTGTCATTACTGACAAGAAGCCGAGAAACAGAAGCGCCTTGAGAATACGAAACATGAGCTGAAAGTCGGTGCCAAATCTTCGTCTACCCATGGAAACCATCTGATGCCCATATGAAAGTTCATGCAAAACATGAAAAATCAGATTTATGTATATCACGGAAATGTGAAATAGTTTTAACTTTACAATGGCTACGATAGTCTGAACTAAAGCTCGCCTTGCTTAATCGAAAAACTTAAGGTAGCATTTACATACCTTTAAGACAATAAGGACTATAACCAAAACTCCCCAAGAAAGTGCAAATACCTGGAATGAAAAAAAAACCGAAGGAAGTAAGACGGTGCTGAAAGCTTGCAACAAATAATAGGAAAGTAGAACAATGAAAAACGAGTTGCTTTACCAGAATACTTTTGCTACGGCGCGCAATATTCAGTTGGTAGACGATTCCATATTGGTAGATAAAGAAGCGACATGCTAGAAGAATCTCAAGTATTTTCCCCCTGGCATTTGAGAATTTCAGGTGTTCGTTCTCTTCATCCCACCAAGATTCCCAGCTTTTATTCGCCGGAATACCAATACCACCACGGTTTCCCATCCATCGCTTCCAATCTGTCCAATCGTCCACCGTTTTTTGCCAATCAAAACCAGAAGGATTGAACAAGAATGGAGCAAATAACCAAGAAATGGCCAAAAACCACATTGACATTGTGATGAAGAAATAAAGAGTTGAGCTACGGTACGACTCTCCATAGATCTCGTAAATAATCAATAGTATAAGTATTTCGAGGCCCTTCACAAAGTGACTCCGTGAGTACATCCTGTAATTATCAGCAAACTTTGCATGGAAGACGACAAATCCGCGACCTGTTGGTCTATATTTAGAGCCTCCGTGCAAGAGTGTTCGTCCGTAATAATGAGCTTTTGTTCCAAGCTGGAAAGTAAAGAACACAGAGGCTAACTGAAGTTGCATGATGATGAAATCACCCAAGGCCGTGCGAAATCCCTTCTCCAAACCGATTTCCATAACCATGGGAAGCACCAGAAGCAAACCCAATTGAACTACAGACTGAGATGCCAAGGCTTGTTCGAGGGATTTGCTCTGATGTATGTTCGGACTTTGAATAATTTCTCTCTCAACTCCACTCAATACCATATATACACGTCCGTATAAGAACACGTAAACTGTAAGCACAGTTATCTGAAAATACACACATAGTACTCAAATTCAGCAAAGCACATTCTAGGAACATAATATGAATATTAACAATCAACTGTCATGATATGATCCACCAAAAAGCGATTCGATTAATTACCATGCTGCTGAAATAGAACCCAACTGTTGTGAAGTAGAACGACAACATTCTGAAGAAGTCAAATCTTCGGCCGAGACGATAAACGTCACGACAAAGTGTTTGCTCTCCATTTCCATTTGCAACCTTAGCCTCAAAGAGTGAAATCTGATTCAGGCCAACATCTCGCCCCTTACCAACTTGTATGTACTCGTGATGCGTAATATATCCTTGACGAAGAGTTGAATTGTACCCTATAGATAGATGTTAAAAGCACACTTAGTAAAAAAAAATTCAATTCATCAAAAAGACGGTTTCCGTTCAACCTTGACGTACCTGCAAATATATCCTCGCTTAAGTTGATAGTTTTTGATGCTTTGCTTATGCCACCTCTTGTTATGTGGAAGATTCTGTCAAATATATCTGGATGGCCATAATGAAATCGAACCCTGCAAATTCAGGAACATGAATTACTTAACACATGTGATAAAAAAAGCTTACTGTGCAGGTATAAGTATAAGCAATAATGTAATCGAAAGATTAAAATCCCAAGGGGGTTATAAAATCATAATAATTGCATATAGAATCAAATTTTAAAATGGTTAACGAGAGGAGAATTGGGACTAACTTTAAAGGATTTGCCAAAACTCGTTGCCCGATGGTCACAAAGCTGGTCTCTTGGTTCGACATAAACCAAGCAAGTGATGAAACACTGCAAAATAACGAAAACAAGCAAGTATGTATTAATATATATGGCATCATTTCATATTTGATATTAAAAATATGTTTACTCGGTCGTGAAAAGGCAGACCTTCCTGTAAATATATGCTCTCTTAGACCCAATATAGTTGGTTTCCTTTGCCCTTTATGCGCGTGAAATTCTTCCAATACATTTCTCATTTTGAAAGCTTCTTCATAGTAATTATCCTTTAAAAAAATATGAGCATCGAGTTATACAGAAAGTACTACTTAATTATAAATATTTTTGAAGTTAAAGTCTGAGGAAAAAGTTACCTGGTTCATGTCTATGGTTTGTAAAGCTTCACCGCGAGTAAATATAATGGCATGGTTTTGGTTTTCAGGTTTCCCTTCCCCAATTTCGGTTGGAGGACCAGGAAGCTTTATGCGATATATTTCCTATCAATATAACACATAAGCATTACGATAAAGTGCTAGTATGTATCCTATCTAATTCGTTAATGATCCAATCTAATTCGTTTAGTAAATATGGCTGAAAAAAAAACGTAAAACATCAAAAGGATAGTTTTTTTTTCCATCTATACCTCATCATATTTATCCCCTCCCTTGACAAGCACAGAGTAATAGACTTTCTTTCCCCCTTTTGTGTCTTCTGTTTCGTCTATATATGCAACACGAAGCGCTGAATGCCTGCGAGGAATGTTTAAATTTTCCATCATCAACACCATTCTTAGTTTACAAGGACCTTAAAAGAGTTCGCCAAAACAGTTGTTTGACTTACGTTACCATCAGATTGAGAATATTATTGTAACAGCTTCGGTCAAAAGTATCTTTAGACTTTTTTTGCGAACCATACAGTTGACAAGAAACGACATAGGTGAACTTTAAATCAGCCAGAGCTTTTGCTTGTTCAAGAAGCCTCTTATCTCTGTCGTTGATTTCCACAGTCCGGTAGCCTTCAGAAATACCTGCATTAGACATGGTATATAGTACATTCATAAATGAACCTTTTCCGCCAAATCTCGTGATTTGAATTCGAAAAACAGCATGTGAAATAAAGAACTCACCATAATCTCCTGAATTTTCTATGAGGTACTGGAGGAGTAAGGCTTGCCAATAGTACATCATTCCTCTCACTGTTCGAGAAAGTGTCTGCCCTCTGTAAGATGCCCACTGACGAACATATTCCTCCCTATCTTCTTCTTCGTCAACATTTTCACTTTTCATGCGCTCATCGAAATTGGCCCATTCATCTGAATTGCAATAACGTATAACAATAACACGAGTGCAAATGCATTTCAGGGGAACAAATTATAGCTATGCATGCAAAAGCAATACTCACCAGGATATATCTTTGTTAGGTAGAATAAAATCGAAATTCCATCTTCATTTTCCTTTTTGAGTTCATCATTGGAATATTGAACATTCTCTTTGTAATATGGTGTTAGAACACTGAAGCAGAAGTCAGAGAGATCAGAGATAATGGAAACATGAGGTAAAACTGTTCGAATATTTATAACAACGACTAACCTGAAAGACAACATATCCCGAACTTTAGGAGCCTTTGGCATGTTCATAAATAAGGAGTTTGCAAAGAATGTAATACGGCGGCGGGCTTCAATATTTTGGGGCACATTTATAGCGGATTCTTTGACGGTTAAAAGCAAGTGAAGTCTAATAACCTACAAAAATGAAACAGACTAATAAGTAACAGCTTATTTGAAAACAACAAGAGTTTAAGGCTAATTCACTGTCGTTGTAAATTAGTTTTACTACATCCAATGAGAATTCATCGTATTTCTGCATGAGCCTACTTTGAAACCGCATTTTAAAAATAACTGCAGCATACTTGATCCTCATTAGACGTCACACCAGAGACATGTCGCCTTTTCTTAAAGAATAATGTAAGGAGTGTGGATGTCAAGACTACCTTCTCCATCACCGATCTCTTCTGTGTAAATGAAGTATCAATGTGAACAAACCTCTGCTGCTGTCCACTCTGAACATTATGATGCTGAGGTGCATGCAGAATTCTGAAGAAAGAACCGGGAAAATTTCATCGAGTCCATAGAGAGTAGTGAGTAAAAAAATTCATACAACAATATTGAGCTTAAAATTTCAAACATACGCGTGGCCATCGATCATAACGTCCTGAATGATAATTTCTACAATATCCTGCAGCACATTGACTATCTGAGACTCAGACTTGTTGTCTTCAGCTCGCTGCCAACGAAAAAATTGTAAGACCCCAATAAGTCCATCAAGAAGGAATCAAATTATAGTAACAAAAAAAGGGGGGAAAAAGTTACCAATAGAGTTAAGAATTTCTCCAACTTCTCACTGAGTGAAGGCAAACCACTCATTTTGAATTCTTTGACAAAATTTTCATGTTCTATGCATTCTTCTACTTTGTAGCATATGAGCTGTATAACCCTAGTTCAATCATGAAAGAAACCCAAAAATCATTAGGATTCTAATACGAAAGAAAATCAAATGGGTGAACATAGGCTATAGAGCTTCTTTTTTTCTTTATATTCTTACTGTCTATCTTCTGCATCTAGGAGAAGGCTCAGTATGATTTCCTTGAGAGTCTCGTAGCATTCAACAACTGCTGAGAACATATAACCATCACTCTTAATCTTTCTAAACAATTCTGCATCATCGTCCTTCTTATAATCTTTTGCCATGTCGACAGCTATAGGAATCTATCACATATTGAAAGAGATTTAAGAAAGAAAGATAAAAGACGCTCCAATTTAATTAATATAAGCCAGTGTTGTCAAATATCAGCCGTGAAAACACCATGGTTCCTTGTGGTGGCTGATTTTTCGACAACCGCCAAGACCATTTTGTGAAGTATGGCGGCGACACGGTGTCATCTGCAATAGCTAACACTGATATAAACTATTGGCCTTGCGGAGTAACTCAAACGACATACCTTGCTAGCGAGCAAGAATGGAGGCCACTGGATGACCGAAACATCAACTGAACTGTATGGAACAAGAAGCAAATCTCTATCCCTGAAAAGTTAGTATTCAAGAGATATAATTATATGCTTGAAATTTCGGAAATATGAAGCAAGATATGTTAGGGAAGAAGGAGTTAGAACTGAACCTGTTACCGATGAGGTCTTCTTCTCTCATAGAATTTATAAACTCATTCCAAACCTGAGAGAAGTATGCAATATTATCCCGTTCATATGCATCATCCTGCATAAGAAACTCCGCCTAGTAAGATTCCTGGTCATTTCCAGCTAGCATTTATGTGATCATATTATTTCATCATGAATAAGAAGAACGGCATTTTGAAACATGAAATACAGTACCGATTCCTCTTGTATGTTCTTTTTGTTTCTTCCAGTCCAAAAGCTTTCACTGAAAGCTAGTGGTACAGATTGAAATCTGGAGCGGAGCATTCCAAGTGTCCTTATCTAAGAGACGCAAAATGTTTAACAAGATTATAATTAACATTAAATGATAACAGCAATAGATTAGCTACGTATACGTATACGTACCTCACCCAAATGGCTGAAGGCTCCAATAATCCCACCGAACAAAGTGGCATAAATGGCATACCATATTTGAGTATCCATAAAATAAACCTACATTGAAGTAACATTCAAGAATAGACTGAATTAAGTCACAAAAGCGTGTAAGTGAAAGCAATGGAATAAGATAAAGTTTGTAAATCGAAAATCTTGTTCCATGTAACTCACCAGGATAATTGGAGCCCATATTGAAATTACAACACTTAAATTGTGAATATCTGTAACATACGGAACATGAGTTGAGGTTATAGCTAGAAGTCTGTAACAGAATATGTAGAGATGGCGAATAAAAGTCTTATAATGTTACCGTTCTCTGGAAAGACTTCATGCCACTGGTAGTTATCTATATGCATTGCCATGATCAATTTTGTCGGTTCAACAAGGGGTGATATCTATTGAAAGATTAGTTTAGTAGATCAGCAAAAAAAAAAATGTAATGAGTTGCAATTTTGAAAAATATTTGGCGAGTTTCATACAATTTACAGAGATGATACCTCGACATAGTAACTGAATGCTAGCTTGCTAATTAGAAGCATAATCCAGAAGAGGGTGTACCTGTCAAAACAGAACTCATTATATAGCAGAAATAATATATATAATTGGTAATAAAAGGAATTTGCAAAGAGCTTATCACTTACTTAATCAGTGAAAACATGCTCTCGTGCATGCCCCGACCAACATACAACTTCGGCTGCAGTAAAAGTCGAAGTTAGAAAAAGGCCTAAAATATACAATGACTTATGAACGAAGCATCTGGATGAAGGTAAAACAGCCTAAAACATCGATGATTGTGTTTCTGACCTGAGCCCACCACATTAAAAGGGTAACAATTCGCATATTTGAGCGCTCCAATGTTCTCCGCATGGGTGGAAGGAAAAATAGTATTGCAGCCACTATGTTTGGTATCATATATATTGCAACAACATAGTAATAGAGTGACCCAGGCCCCCAGTCCCCAGCCCAGTGGGTGAAAAATTCTAGAAGACCGCTTGGATTCTGAAGAGAACTACTAAAACTCACTGGCAAAACAACAACCCAAACCGCTGCTACCACAAACTTCAGGAAATACCGAAGCAACTGAGTAAACTTCATGTTCCTCAATGCATTCCAGACGAGAATAATATCGATAGTTACTGAAAATAAACAATACGAGAGAAAAAGGGCAAAATCTCCTTTAAATAACCTTGTGCTAAAAGTAGATACAATAAAAAGCATAGATATATCGGAATTGAGTACCTTGAAAAAAATTGAGAATAGCATATGAAATAAATATACTGGAAACATTTCTGAAGACATCATCATCGGTAAGCACTCCAATAAGTCCCAAGTTACTCCAAGCAATTATAATCATTGCCTGTGGAAAAATAAATACTGTCATATCTGAAAGACAATTCGCACCGTGAAATTCCAAGGCTTAACCATATGCATAGGTACTCGGGTAAAGCCGACGTAAGAAACATACCACGGGTCAGAGTACTAAGGTTACCTGTAAAGCCAATATAAAGAAAATCCACATTCGATCAAAACTCCTATAAAGATGCAAATATGTACGAACTTCAACAAAATTTGTTTTAGGCTTCTTCTTCCCAGCTCCAGTGCTGGCTTGGCCCCGGCCTCGGCCCTGCCATTTCAATGTGTACTTCAATAAAGGTCTCGGACAAATAAGATAGGTGCCAATTGAAACAAATTAATAGAAACGTATTCAAAAGAGAAAGAGAAAAATAGATGTAGACCTGATTTGCTGTTTGTGTCTCATTATGCCTAAAAAAATCCGAGTTGAGATTCATTGGCCAATTCAGCTTAAAACATTTGTCAGACCTAGAAAAGGACAGAGTTGAGCTTCTTGTTATCCGACATACATAAATATCGTTTTTTTTTAGCAATGCTTCAAGTCTTTTTCTTATTGTGATATAAGTAAAATACTAGTGAAAGATTTACCAGAAGTATTCGTTAAGATCATCATAATTTCTCCAATTGGTGTGACTTGCTTTGCCTTTGTTACTTCTCTTTGCTTCCTTTGTCACCGAAAATGGAAAAGAGTTTAAGGAACACATTTAAAAAACAGGAAGAAAAATTAATGAATTATTTAAGTAACATACTTACCTTCATTAAAACTTCGTATAAAGGTGTTATAACTTCCCTCAGAAAATGTTCATCATCACGTGTTACTATTTGATATGCATCTCCACTCACTTGAATGGCATTGCTATATAAAACCCCATAGACATCATTGCACATCTATGGCAGGAGAGGGAAAAAAATGAGTTATCAACATGTATCTAATATGCATTTCACCTTCTTATTGGTTTTGTTTAAGCATTTTTGTTACGTTGCACTACTAAAAGACGAAGTTGAAATTAAGAGATTCGTAACTACTCGGTCACTGCTAAGAGATCTATTAAGAAAGATCTCGAGATTAACGACTTGGATGGAAATATGGTCCTGGATAAAACATTATGGCAGAAGTTGATCCATGTAGCCGACCACAGTGGGATAAGACTTGGTTGTTGTTGTTGTTGTTACTACTCGGTCATGGTCAGGGTTAAAAATGATAAAACATGTGCTTACAATGATAGACTCGTAGGAACATTAGAAGAATGAATAGTATGATATTAATATAGTTTGAAAAGTGGTTATGGAAAACTTACATGATGGAAAATATAGCAAAGGCATTCAGGCATAAAGCGAATATTTGAAGCTTCTCCCCAAATTAGAAGATAAAGTGCAATGTAAATCAGGTCTAATTGTTGTTTGTCATGACCATCTGAATACCTAGTGTAAAAAAAAATTATTATGTACCAAAATGAATCATAGAGTTCTTGCAAACATTATACAAAGTGCAATTTATGCTACACACTTTCACTTTTATCATGTCACATAAAAGCATTGGAGTACCTAATATTTGATTTACAACGCACGTATTGACACCATGATTCATAATTTTTGAAAGTTGTAGCCATCAACTTCTCTACAGTTTCTTCACGGATCTGCAACAAACTTCTTTTCAGTTCTCAATATCATGAGTATAAGTATAATTGCAAAATTGAAATTTGTATTACCTAGTCCATTAGATATTTAAAAGTATAAATAAAGAAACAGAAGCTTTTTCGAGAAATAATGATTTACCTCATAAGATGCAGACCTGTTCCTTATATCCATGTTGGCAAGTAATAATATAAGGTGCTCCCTTTGATTTGCCACATTTCCTTTCTTTGTATTAAAAAAACACAAACATCAAATTAGATTGTTCGCTAGACAAAGAAATTTCAATTGCAGAAAATTGGATATAGAAGAGAAATATATATTACCTGAAACCCAAAAATTGAGGCGATCCAATCGAGTATATCATTCACATTTTTAACCCTCTCCATAGGCATTGTAGAATCATCATTATCAGGTCTTGAATGAATCAAAGGCAATGGAAGATTATCCACCTTACTTAAAGCAGCAATTGCGGCTTTGATCTATAATTTCAAATAATAAAAAAACCAAACAGTTTATAAAGTTAAAATTTAGCAGAAGCAAAACTTAACACATTCCAAAACACACAAACCTCGGGAAGTTCCATGATCACCGGTTTAGCACCAACAGCATATAATGGAAGGATATTATAATGCTCATACTGTCCCTTCTTTTTCTCAACATCCGCAGCATATCTTTTTGTCTGACAAAAAACGAGGCTATAAGGCCCGACTCTTACCACTTAAGCGAAAAAGGCGCTATTGCACAAATTTAAGTGATAGTAACATAATCAAGAAAAACAAACCTTCTCCTCGATGGTTTGTGGAGTTACCAAAGTCTTCAGTACTTCATACAACACAGTGGCAATCTGAACATTCCTAACCATCTCCTCCCTTCAAGAGAAACATCAGAAGAATAATAAGACATTATAAAATCACATGATTCACACAACCTACAAGAGCAAGTTAAAGAAAAATCAAGCCTTACGGTTTTTTAGTTAATTCACCACCCCGGATTCTAGTCTCGTAGAAATATTGGTAGTAACTCTGTAGCTCCCTGGCATCAGTTCTTTTAGTATGTTTCTCCGTTATCTCCCCTTCCTGCAACCATGAATTTTAGCAACTAAGAAATGAATGGTGTTCTTACTCATAAACGATCGATCTATAGACCTACCATAATTTCTATTAAATGTTAAATACTTTTCTAATAAGTACAATAGTGAGAGAATGAGACCTGCTCATGTAATGATTATGAGAGAAAATACAAAATCTCTCACAATTATTATGTGAGCAGTTCCCATTTTCGGTCCAATTCTCTCACTGTTGTAATATCAAGCTCCTTCAAAATATCAAAGAATTGCGAGCCTGCATACCCTTTCGAGCTTGTGCAAGAGATAAGTTTTGAATTGACGAACGCCACGGCCACTTGATGTTGGATCCATTGTATGAGCCTTCTCAAATGCATGAAAGCGACCTAATTAAGCAAAGAAAACATATTACTATATTAGTATGGTACACTCTTATGCAAATATAAGTGCAAAAACCATTGAAAAAACAACTCACAAAGATATGCAACTCTAGGATTCTCCACTTCAATATCAATGGCAGTTCTAAGAATTGGCACAAGAACAGCAAGTGAAGAAGGAACAATCTCACTATCCATAATATTCTCTTCATTTGGCAACTCAACAGTCCTTGTTGGTGCCCTTATCATCCTCTTAGACGGTTGTCTAGAGATCTCAAAAGGACCCTTTGTTCCACTGGTGCTAGCCATGTTTCTGCCACCACCAGAAACAACACCACTACCAAGAACACCAAAACCAATGCAAGTTTAAATTTTTCTTCCTTTGTCGCAATAGTGTGCTTGACCCAGAAAGCAAAACAGCATTTGGGGTTTGAGTGAAGAGTTAAGGAAACTAAAGTTGTCATCTTTTTGAAATGGGGTTGAAGAAATAGCCAAAAAGATAGATACTTTGATTGAGAGAGAGGTTTTGGAATTGCTCTAATAGCAAGGTAAAAAGAAACAATTGAATAAAGAAAAAGAAAGGAACAGAGAGACAGAGTAGTGCGTTCTTATCTTTTTGGCGATAAACAATGGAAGAAAATAGGGATCAAGGCTTACACTCACACATCACAATGCTTTTTTGGGTTAACTTTTTTGAGAAAAAGTTTGGTCTTTGGAATTGAAAATGGGATTAACGAATTGCTGATGAAGCTTACATGCAAAGGAAGCTCAAGTGCTTTGAAGGTTGGAGTTGCTATCAATCATTGATCGTTTAAGGAACAATAGTTTGAGGAAAGCACGTGGAATGTATGGTTGTTCAAATCTAAATCAATTTATATAAAAATTAAAAATTGATCTAAAAAATCGAAAATCACAAAAAAATCGAAATTTATAATTTTTGCAAATTTAAATAACTATAAAATGATTTTTATTTTATTTTGATTATCGTGTCTTTTTATTAGTTATCTTTGATTTAGACATTTAATTTTAAGTTGTTAAAGTTGTGAATTTATAAAATTAAAAGTTTTTTTAATTATTATCAAATAGAACTTTATTAGCTTCATAAAATTTATATCTATTTTTGTCAAAATCTAGTCATCTAATAAATAAAGAGTTGAAAATGCTAGTTGCTATAATAAATAAATTATTTTTTTATATAATTATTTTATTTTATTAATGAGTTTGTAAAAATTTATCTGATTTTATTGTTGATATCAATTGAAATATGAGTGCTCTTTTTTTTAGATATTATTTTCAATATTTTTATTCCACTATATGGTCACTATTATAAATAAAATAGAGTAAAATATAGTTGACTTTGGTAATATATATTTATGAAAATAATATATTTATCTAAGTTAGTAGGTAATTGATAAGTTAATATATTTTTGACTATAACTACTTTGAGATTAAAAATATTTATTTTAAGTATTTTTTATGATTTTAAAGAAAACATAATTTTAATTCTAATTTAAGTGTTTAGATCATTAGATTCACATGTGTGTTTTAAAATTGGAATTTAGAAGAATACAGATAGTTGAAATAATAATTGTCTTGTTAGATTATTTTAGTTAAAAAAATAAGATTTTTAGTTGAAATAATAGAAAAAATTGTATTTGTCTATTTGAAAATTGAAAATAAAGATTTTAGAGGTACCATATAGGACTATGGAATGGGTGGCTCAAAATGTGGTCGTATCTGACCAGAATGGACCGTCACAGCTTACGTCGAGCAGTACTTAAGAGTGAGGTGGGGGGATACCTGCAAGACACTCTGATGCCAAAATGAGATACGAAATGGTGCAAGCAAGTAAGAGAGTGAGAAATGTTCAATATCTGGACCTCTCGAGAGAGGCTACTTATAGCCCCGGCGTTGGGCTAAGGTCTCCTCATTGGGCTGGTCAAGCAGGCCCAAAGTGGAGATTATCAGGTCCTACGTGAGTAGTGGGGACCAGCACGTGGTCCCCCACCTGGATGACTTCCTCTGTATGATCAGGAGGATATGGATGCAGTCTTTCTGGAGCCACGAAGACTCCGTGATATTCGGAGACGTTGATAGTCAGCCCTATGAAGAGGATGCTCGTAGGAGCGTTTCTGCTCATCGTGGATGCTCCCCGTCGGACGCGAGGTCATATGGGAGGATCAGTCTTGGTCGATGAGAGGATTGGAGGGTGACCTTGGGGTCCTCCTGACCGACGATGAGCTTCCTAAGACTAGCTGGGTTTATCCCTGTGTGGTGAGGCTACCTCCTCGCGGAGAGTGGAAGTTGCTGCCCGACGCAGTCGATGGCAGAATTGCCCAGCATGTTGTGATACGGTGCGAGAACTGACTTGGGTGTTTTATATTTTATCGCAAATATTGTCGTTAGCAAGAGTCGCCATCGACTTTTCTTTTATCCAAAAGGAAAGGCTAAAAAGAACAGGAAAGACCTTTGAGATTATTTCTTGAGTTCGGGGGGTAGATTATGAAAAGGGAATGTGTTAGCACCCTTTTCATCCATAGTTATCTATGAGCTCTTAGTTTCTTGCTAGATCACTTGCTTTTGTTTGAAAATGTGTTTTGTGTGTTTTTTGAAAGTATTTTGAAAAGGCGTGTTCGTTTAGGCAAACTTTGTAATAGTTCTCGTTCGTAAGAACATATACAAAGTGTTGAGCTTTTGAAAATGTTTCAAGTTTTGGAAAATATTTTGAAAGTGTTTTTGAAAGTGTTGGTGTTTGTTTTGAAAATAAGCAAGAGTGTTTGATTTGAAATTGAGCAAGCAACTAGGAACAATCTACCTACTCAAAAGTCTTAGTTCATTTCTTCCTTTCCTTTGATATTGTTATCTTACCATTGATTTGGTAAGAAGCCTTATCTTTGGATGTAAAGGGACGGGTGTGGGTCATCGTATAGCCATGATAGCAATGTCGTGAGATATTTTAGCAATTCTCTTTAAGGGACTAAGATCATTTTGAAAGGCAATATTGATAGCGTCATCGAGGGACTATGATCTTGTATTTTTTATTGCTTTTAGCTAAGATATCCCACATGCATAACATGGCCATTTTGGTAAGGCAACAAAGTGGAATTACCTTAAGGATGCAAGTGTTCAAATGTGTTGATTTACATGCATTGTTTTGTCTTGAATTAGGGTTTGCTAACTTGTTGATTTTATCTTTCCATACAAACCTTAATTTACTAGCATTTTTATATAAAGCGATAAATTGCGGAAAGTAAAAATACTAAGCTATTACATCATTAGGGGAGGGGTGTACAAATTTACAAATGGATATTTTGCAAGAAAATTAAATCTAATTAACTATTACAACCATATTGAATAAATGTATAATAATTGAAAAATAATGTACAAATGCAAAATGGAAAAAAAAATGATTTTTGTTTGGTATTCATGAAAGGGGTTTATTCTTGACCTAATTTAGGAAAATGATTAATTAAAATTAACAAAATTAAAACCTAAATTAATTAACAAAGAAAATAAGTTTAAAATGATTTTTTAGGTTTTTTATGAAAAGGTTTTTAAATTAATAAAAATAAAATGAAAGTTAATCAATTAAAATAAACCTAAGTTCTAAATTAATTTTAATTAAGAAAAGAAAATAATATAAAAAAAAGCCCGAGGGGGGGGGGGGGGGGGGGAAGCCCAGGCGCCTGTGTTAAACAAAAATGGAAAAAATATGAAAAATAACCAAAAGGGTACCACTGGGGCTCGAACTTGCTTTTGAAGAAAAGTGAAAAGACAAATCTCCAAGTATTGTACAAGCATGTTCTGAGTTTCAATAGGCCTTAGACACATTGCTTTTGGTTTATAGGGGTTGTGTGTGCAGAAAGAACAAGTTAGAAGCTCAAGACAAGTTGACTTTGTGATTAAAGCAACTTTTCAAGAATAAAATGGTAACTTTGTGCCATAAATGGAAATGCAACTTGGATAATGGCTCAAATGCTTGGATCAAAGCTCTAACAGCTGTGTAAAAATTTAATTATGGAGTGAAAAACAAGTTTGAGGCCTGCAAAGCAAAGATTAGGCAACCTATAATGGATTTGGTTCATGTATTCTTCACAAAATGGCTTGTAATTCAAGTTTGAAAACCCTAACTTCTTGTCTTCGATTCTCCTTGCTCAAACATGATCTCAATGAGTTCTTTGACATTTTGGAAAGCTTGTAACATCCTATACAACCTCTATGTTGGACAATTTTGAAAATTCATCTTAGAACTATGTGAAAAATTGCCATGAAGTTAGGTTAAAATCATGCCTAAACTAGGGCAAAATTTCACTAAGTTTCCAAGTTTCACGAACATGTATTCACAAAATCATAACTTGAAATCCATGAATTTCTAGGAGAAGTTGTGCTATATAATGTCTTAGATTTCATTGAGATCTACAACTTTCATGTTGGAATTTTCCTTTTAATCATCTTGCGTCATGGTGAAAAATTGGCTCAAAATTGTGAAAAAATATGAAGTTTTCAACACTTAGAAAAATTTCTAAGTTTAGAAATTATGAATTTTCAAAATGAAATCTTGAATTTTTGATTTCTTGATGAACAAGTTTCATAATTTGACATGTTTTGATGAATTGTGATCTTTGACACTTGATTTTGACTAAAAGTCAAAGTATGACTTTTCAGTGTACACTTGACTTTTGATCAGTTGACTGGAAATTCATCTGTCAATTAATCAATCTTGGGATATGTTTTGAGCCATGACATTAGGTAAAAATGAAACAATAGAATCCTTGAGATCATGTATTAAACCAATCAATCATTTGCTAGGTCAAAAATTAGAAATTGCACCTTCTTAGTAAAAACCCTAATTTTGACCATTTTGCCCTTTTGATGGTCTGATCAAATTTCTTGAGGAATTATGATCCAAAATTAATCAAATGACATATATGAGTTCATATTGTTGATATGGACCAAAAATTATGAAGTTTGACTGTAAATTGACCACATTTGACTTTTTCCCCAATATAGTTGATTTTAGGTCAACTGATCAATTGATTGAGCAAAAATGTGATCCAGGACTTGAAACTTGACATGAGCAATCTTGAGAGTCTAAAATGATCCATGAAATTCATATTAGGCATTAAAAGTTCATTTTTCCTTGTGCAATCTCAAACCCTAATTTTCAGTCATCAGTGCTTGAGGAGGTGTCTTGAGCTGATCAACCCTTGTCCAGTCTTGAACCAAAGGAGATCTTGTGAGAATTTACTTGATAAATGAGAGGTAAAATTTTGGGGTACAACACATGTCTTAACCGGCATAATTGGTTT